ATTTTCATGGCAATCTCAAGAAATTTACATAGTATGCAAAAAATTGATATCTTGTTTACGTGAACATGCTGCTTGGGAGATGTTCGGAAATGCGGACCCACCCAGAAACTATGCCCTCCGGAGATGCATCACAAAAGTTGAATTTTTCCTGAACTCAGCATCACATCAGGTATGCGTGTGCCAAGTTTCACCTTTCTGTTTTCGCCCATTTCCCTACCAAACAAAATATTTGAAAATATCACCCACAAAAAATATGCCCCAAGACATGCATCTAAAACTTGACATTTTTCTTGAACTGAGAGTCTCAGTAGGCACGTTCATGTCAAGTTTCAGCTCCCACGTATATCCGTTTCACTAAAGGAAACATATTTCTTTGATGACATCTTCCCATGTTTTCAGAAATGTCATCTCTGTGATACGCAAACGGTGACATAAAATTGATGGAAATTTTACATGAAATTGATATTCACGTCTACATCCCATGCAGCATGTTTCATTTAAATAATATAAAATTTACACCAAAAGACTCGTATTAATTCACTGTATTAGGTAACATTGATGTTAATTCTTTGTACATGACATCAATATTCATGTGAATTTTCCCAATAACTAAACCATTAGCTTTGATGAGATTAAATGCTGCCATGCACTTACGATTTGCCACTACTTCTTGTAGTTCTAGTGTATTAAAAGGAGTAGACAAGATGAACCGGTTCTCCCCTCTTCTGGACCCAATACGAAACCCTGAGGGTATTAGCAGGGTTCTATAGGTACTCTCTCGCATGCAAGATGTATGATGCGTGACGTGAGAGCTTATGTTTTCTTTCCTTCCCAATTTCTGTACGCATCTGTATTCCCATACTTAATTTCTGCATTTAATAATTCCCTGAGTTACATATTGCAATAAAAATAGCATTGTTCCGCATTTCCTCATATCTATTTATAAATTGCACAATGAATAGAGGAAATTAGGGAGGAAAACCTTTCACTAAATCCGGAAGGCATATACTTAATTGAACTTTTTGAGGGAACATGAGTTCCATTTAGTAATGACTCTTGGTACTGCAACTGTGCGAGAATCAGTTACATCATGGTAAGACAGTTGGTGACCCTCTACTTATACTAAGTAGCAAGTCAGCAATAGCAAGTCCCACCTATCACCACGTTCCTACCTTTAGTAGAACACCACCACAATAATCCCTGGGCCGCCTATGGCCCACTACCTTTGTGATTCATGGGGAATGAACAGTATGTTCATGTTGAAGATGAAGTGATGTTCAACATATTCCTTAGGGAGAACTAATTCAGTTTAATGAAACTATCCTTGTCTAAATTTCATATTGATGGTGTGATATTAACTTTGTATGAACTATATATCATGTGCTTTATATCATATGATGTCATATCTGGTTTATATGGAAACTTCATCCACTTTGGTGATGTAAATATAGGAATTTTTCATATAAATGTGATATGATTTGACAATCGCAAGAAATTGACTTTGTAAAAATTGATATGTTGTAAACATAAACGTACTTCTTGGGCCTCCGGGTAAAGCGTTGCATCACTTGTGCAAGTCCCTGTTTCAAAGCTGTCAACCTAAAGGTTTCTATTGATAAAATCGACTTTAAAAATGGGGCACATGGATCAGTATCAGGGGTACGACGGGACTTCCCCATAATCATCGCTAAAATGAAGTTGAGTTACCCGAAGGTGTCACAAATTTAAGTCTTCACACGATACGAGAATCTCTTGGACAATGATGCATTTCACTAAACTTATCCGGAAAAAAATTAGAAAAATCGGGAAATAATATTTGAAAACGCTTAACGTTCAATAATATCAAATCTGATGTTGAACTCTTCAGAGTCTTGCGTTTTTAATGCTGCTTCATAAGATCGGAAAAATACTGCGAATAAAACCTTGATCTGCATTGATAACTTTCAGGAAAATTTTGGCTCACTAAATCCTGACCAATCGTGCACTAACATAAGGTATTAAAATGTAATTAACATCGCAACTAGAGTAGGTTTAGATTGTAGCTCATATGGGCAGGCATTGAACGACTGATCTCCCGAATCCAATTCCAGTCAGAATGAAGACTATTCATCGAACAAAACAAATAGCAAAAATCAAGATTTCACTGTCTGCAAAAAAAAAAGAAGATATTTTAGAGAAAAACGTTAGCACGATTTCCAATTTGGTTGGGAACTTACACTTTACTGGCACTTCAACAAGTCTGATTCATAGTAACTCGTAACGCATGGCGCCCCACCCTCACGAAAATGTCTTATAGGATTCATATATATTCCTTTAGGAATATATAGGAATCCTATAGGAAACTAAAGGAATCCTATTGGTTCCTATAGGCCTTATAGGGTTCAGTTTGGGACCTATATGTTTCCCTATAGGACCTATAGGATTCTCTATAGGACCTATAGGGTTAGCTATAGGGCCTATACGGAACCCTATCGGCCAATAGGGTTCCGTTGAAGTTCTTCTCCAGGACACTAGATGGGAGTACATGGTTCTTGCATTTCTCAAAGGACACAAAAGTGCCCTCCCCTTACCCAAGGAATCATCTCTCACAAGAGAGTTTTGTACATCCCCAAATGTCTCGCCTTCCCTCATTGTAGCTATTAATAAACTTCGACACTTTAAAACCCAAAAATTCCTCCCCGAATCCTATAGGTCAGGAGACCTATATGACCCTATAGGGATCCTATAGGATCCTAAAGGTTTTTCGTGTTTCAAAACCCTATAGGAAAGTCTATAGGTGTCCTATAAAAAATAACTATAGGTTTCCTAATGGACATTTCCGTAAGGGCACCCTCCTATAAAATTTTTTGGTATTGTGTCATGATAGTTTGGTTGAGGTGCGTACGATTTGCAACGACTGGTACCCAGAACTTGAGGATCCAAATAATTTGTCGGGTGTCTCCAACTCCATATGCATACTACAAAGAAATGGGAATGGTGGATATTCCGTGTTTCCATTTGTTCTCTTCGTGCGATTCGAAGAAGGTTGCGACCACAAGACAGAGGACCTGTCTGGAAGTAGTTACATGAAATCTTTACAAGCAGTTACATATTGAAATTAGTTCTAATCAAAAGGGAGGAAGAGAATGGGAAATGCTGGTTATTAATTTAAAGGGAGGCAATACTTTGTAGTACAACGTTTGCACGATTCAGGACAATATTCCATTAACTTTTAATATTATTTCATGATTCCAGAAACCTTTGGTACAACTGTCGTATAAGATGTTCAAGGTGATTTTACAAGAGAAAGGTAGTTCACCTAAGTAGGGTCGACCTTCACTTGTCCCTTCCAATGGAGTATTCAATTTCACGTTACATACATATCATTTTTAGGAAAATTTCAGTCAATCTGGTTTCCCGAACTTTAGGCTTGTTATGATCTTGTGAAACGATTCGTGGAGACATTCTTTCATTCCATCACAAATTCTGCCACTCTGCGAACTTCTTAGTGAGCAAGTCATTACACCAAAAGCATTCTGTTGTCTTTCCTTATTAGGCCATCTGAATCACCATTAGATCCTCATCGGTCGAGCAGTCGGAAGAGAGGGGTGAGCGGAAACACATTCACGCTGGTAAGCGAGCTGTCCTCACGGAAATATTAGGTTAAATAAGATGATCGGGTATGGGGTAGGGGGTAGATAAATGGACAAGAGAACCCAAGTAGCCCAGGAACGTTAAATGAATATTTAAGTAATGTTTTATTTTTGTTGTTTCCATTATGTGATGAAGGCAGTGTTGAGAGGAACGACTGAATGTCCTGGGTTCGGTGGTGTAATGGTAGCACACCTGATCGGCAATCAGGACGCCCTGGTTCAATTCCCTGCCGTCCCCTGGCTTTCTTTCGTCCTCTCTCGTCCATCCAACCTCCCTACCTTCAGTTCCTAACGTGACAATTACATGAATGTCCTTTGGAACGTTCCTTGACTGTTCAAATGTCCGAAATTTGGAGTGGTAAAAGACAGTTCAAATTTTGCACTCTCTGAACGTTTCATTAAGGTCGTGAATTGAATATCCTCAAACAGCATCAAAGGGTTGCATTCATACCGAATAAAGTTTTGCACTTGTGACAAGGGGATCACATAATCAATAATTCTAATTGGAAATACCTTTCCTCATTTGGTACACGATCCTCGTGTCAGCGAAATTCTTTTCCCAGGCGCAGAACTCTCTCTGATATATCTATCAGATGGGCAGTTCCTGCTTTACGCCGGAGATGCGTGTGGAGAAAGAGTTAGAGCATGGAAAATATTGCAACGCAACTGCGTCTATCGCCACAGCAGAAACATGGACACGCTCCGCAATGGATGCCCTTTTTTGGAGGAGTGATGAAGTGAATCATCCATGTGCGTTCACTTCATTCAAAACCGTAATTATGTATTAGTGACCAAAAGCACTTTTGATGAGCGTCCAAAAGCTGCTCATTCCTGAACGTTCAACTTCCACAAACCTCATTGCACACAGGTTGAACATCCCCTTGAATGCTCCTGTTATTTGGGAAGGATACCATACGTCGAAGGTATCGAACATTGAAGTGCTTCCTTTCGATTGCATGTCGAAGGTTTCGAACATTGAACAATGGAGCGAATCAAATTTAGACATAATTATTCGGTCACTTCCTGACAGAAACTGCAATAAAGAATGATCATTCTGCAGATTAATTTTTGGTGATGCAGGTGCCATCCCCACTTCCAAAGCCAAAACCTCTGCTAACAACCCAACAATCTCTTCTATTAATGAACGGGAATAAAAATGGAATTTTTTTCGCAGGGAAATTTTGACGACTTTTCCAGACTGCTACGGTGGTAGGTATGTAAGAGAATAGGTGCTTTGTCAATTCCTTTTTGGTAATGATTAAGAGAGAAACTTGATGCTGTCACCTGCAAATATTTCACTATTTTTTCCGTGCATCGATTAATTTCTGTTTGCCCTATTATTTAAGAAAGTCGTGTCGCATCAACGATTCTCCGGTCCCCATTTATCTTTCCATCTAGACGCCGCAGGAGCAGCAGAATGACATCAGCGAAAAAGAAAAGGTGAGATCTTTGCCCATTTGTGAACTCGTCAACGAGAGCCTTCATTGTACTGGAATGTCATTACATCCCAGTTTTTCTCAACTATTCGAGGTCAGATATCGGAGATTAACGAAAAAACGCATGAAAATCCCGATCACGGGTATCATGGAATCATCACGACCCATGACATGGGGCAATAGGCGCATGGAATAGATCAATGCATATTAAAAATACATTTCGCCCACGAACGGTTGATACTGGAATAAGCAGTTTAACCCATTCAGTCCTTTAAATGGCACTCCACATCCGTGATGTAGCTGTTCGGCACATAGCTACGGTCACGAGTCAAGTTCGTTATTATGACACAATGGGTTAAGCCAGTTCATATAACCGATACGTAGTAGAATATTCTTTTGATTATAGATCCAAGCATCGACAGTCATGGATGAAGCTTCATATTAATAGCATGCAAGTTAAACGAACATCTGGGAGCAGTGTCCTGCTCATTGAATAAAAGAGGTTGTGATTGAAGTTTTACCAAAAAAAAGTACGTGCGTGTATGTAGCCATATTAATGTATTAAATAGGTTAGTCATTTTTAAGTAAAAATTTCATGAGCCCTTTCGCGTTTTTAATTTCGTGTTTTTAATCGCGTCAATAGCAATCAATGCACATTAAGTCCATCAACGATTCAGGAGCTGATTTATGCATGGCCGAGTCTGCATGGTTCCAGAGTCGGAGTTGTGCAGTCACCGACCAATCGTAACCAGATGAATTTCCAAGCGCACTTTTCCTTGCAGAAAAATCGATGTGATTATTCTTCGAAAAAAAGCACATCTCAGTGTAGAGATGAACTCCTCTCCCTGTACAGCTGTATTTTAAAAGGACCATGATATGGCATTTGTATGAAAGAATAAATTCATTTTACCTAGGTAATGGTAACCTCTAACCTTCCAGGGATATCCGGGAAAAGTCTTCTTTCATCATGTCCCTTGTCCTGAGAGGTGCCAGCAAAATAAGGATCGAGGAAAGGGGCATTATCTCGAGCATAATCTCGAGTTCTCTGTCAATCTCGTGTCTGTCAGGTTTACAACAGTCCTGAGGAAAAAGAATTCTCTGCCTCTACCCAGATATTCGTACTTTATAATTCTTTACCTGGCGGGAATTTTCTCGCTACTCACGGTTGCATCGCGACTCAAGACCCCTAGGGAATCGTAATTGGATTTAGTTGACTCATTCCAAATGTATGGAAATTTTACATATCAATGAATACAAAATCATGTCGTCCCAATGCTTTCACAGAACTAATTCACATGTAATTTTCATTCAGCTAGTGAAGGAGAATAATCAACTCCATGCACTGGTGTCTCAACTACGGTCAAATGTACGGGATGTGGAAACTCGGCTGAAAGAGAGCTATGAGAAAAACAAGAACTTCACATCTCATTGGAAATCAAAGGCCTCTGATTCCATATTCTCTTTTGGCAAGTACATCTTTCATAAAAGAGCCTGTATCTAGTGATTGAATTGTAATTGCAGGTAGAAGAGCTGGAGCAGAAGCTGAGGAATGCATTGACCGAGGAAAGGAAAGCGAAAGACCAGTTCGAGAGGGAGAAGTTTGCTCATGAAGAGACTAAGAAACAGCTCAGGGAAAAGGTTTCTTATTCTACTTCACTGTCCTTCGCCGTGTTGAACCATTTGTAAATTGGATGCAAGACATTGGCCCGTGATTTTAAGAGCAGATATTCTGCGAAAGTTGTCCAGGGTGACGAGAGAGCATCCGAAAGCCTGTTCAAGGAACAGGGGACACTCAGATTTTAGTGTCCGCTGAGCTATTTCCACAAAAATTAGCACTAATACTAGAATGACCCGTTCCTGAAAGACTTTTTAAAGATCATATAGCTTCATTTGTTCAACCAAGGAAAGAGAAATAAGGAAATACAGAATGATATAGAGTCCACTAGTGTGCTGCGGCCGCTAAGCTGGCCGTCTAATGGGTGGTGATTTCAAAATGTTTACATAAAGAAATGAAGCAGTTTGGTTCCAACCAAGCATTACAAAATTTTAAACAAACTTGAAGCAGTTCGAAAGTTTTGCCGCCCAGCTAATTTCATTACCATAGAGACCACACCTCACAAATATATCACGAATGAAGGAATTCATCATGAGTGGAAAATACCATTTCAAATTCGAAAAGCGACGATGAAGATAAATAATTTATTTTGGAAATCAATATGATAAAATGATCACAAAATCTGAAATATTTGCAATATTACTGTTGTATAAGAAATCACGGAAAATATAATCCTGAAAATCGACGTCAAGAGCACAAAATTTGGTGGCAAAACTGATTTATTAAGGAAATGGGATTTTGGAATCTACAGCACTTCCTTGCACACGACATTGTCAGTAAAAACGCCGTCATCGGTTGGGCCTTGCCTTTGCCCATCGACCACTTGGATTTTGAGGCAATCGTCAGGCGGGATTCGAGAACATTTAGCAGACCGTGAGAGAAAACTGGCTCTGGCTGCAAGAGACCAGCCGTCAAACGTTTGTCCCTGAGTTTTGTTGATGGTCATACCGTAAGCCAAACGAATCGGGAATTTCCTTAGGCACATAGGTTATCGAAGGGAATTCTAGGATCGGTCGCTGTGTCGCTGATACGGACGATGGACATGGGGTTGACGGTTTCTCGGTTGAATTTCTTCTTCAATTGTCAATTGGTTTCCGTTACGTTCTGGTCGAATTGGGAGTGAAGTCGAACAATTGGAACACGATTATCGATAGTCAAAACGTTCCTCAGTCATTTCTTCAAACTTCTTTCAAGTGGAATCGATCATATTGGAGAAACACAATCCATTAGAACACGACAGACAACGTGACTCAGCGCTACAGGCGTGTTTTTGAATGAGTACGCCTTTAAATGACCCCCCAAAAAAGAAATTCAAATTACGTTTCAGGAAAAAAGCGTCAACAAAAAATGCGACACTTTTAACTTGATAGAGAATCATCTCTTCTTTCGAATGGTGAAAACAGCATTTCAATCAAATCTAGCTTTACAAAGTAATTAATTGTCGAAAGTTGGGCAGGACTCTGGGCACACCCTGTAGTAATTGCCAATTTCATGGTAAGTCTTCTAAAATTAGATTTTAAATATACAAAAGTGTTTATGACCGAGCCTATGGCCTAGAATGGCATAGCAACGTAGGCCTCGCGCGTTAGGAGGGACATCCACCATGAATTTCGATTCTCTCAATTACAGTATTAGATGCAACCATCCAGCAGGTAGGAGTGCAAATCTTCCTCATAATGATTCCCAAAGAAATCCTTCAACTTAACAAGTGGATCGTTTCCAAATGTTATTGGTTTGAGGAAGATTGATTATTGATTATTATTTAGGGCAACAGGTGCTTTCACACGAATGTGATTAGATCTTCCTTACTTCCATGCATTTAGTGAGAACTTTATTCATGAGCGTGTCGATTGGCATTCGGTTACAGAGGGAAGGTAATGCCAAACTATGAGAAGACCAAAGCCAGAAGAAGAAGCCAGGTATTATTAATAGCTGACTGACTTTAACTTGAAAACTTGAAGCGTTGTGTCCTTTTTCCAACGTAACTAATGAGAGGAAAGTGGGCGCCTTCATTAAATATATTCCCAACCTGCAGGAGATGCGGCAATCTGCAATTCTTCAGAATGTTGGCAGAAATTCATAGCTATAATGTATTTTAATACATGTCGACATATATGTTTACGATAAATTTCTTTGACTCATCGTTCCGTTACCTCATAGACCAGCAGAGAACCAGAAACAGAGCCGATTTCACTGGCTCATAAGATGAAAAACGAATGCAAGGACATTGATGGGTTCATCCGCGAATTGCCAAAGAAGAAAGTGATGGAAGACGGAAAATATCAACTGGCCAAATACGAAGTCGGCGACGGAACGGGCAGCGGAGGGGGAAAGGTCCTCATGGTCGTCGGAGCAACTGGAACAGGTGAGTTGCGCCTCATTTCGACTTCATCTTCCACTGGATACACGAATGCAGGAAAATAATAATAATTTCAGGAAAAAGTACCCTCATCGATGGAATCGTGAATTATGCATTCAACGTGGAGTATGAAGACGATTTCCGTTTCAAGCTGATCGTGGACGAAGGACTTGGTCAGCAAAAGTCTAAATCCAATAGTCAGACCAAGTGGATCACGGCATACGTTCTCAATAAACAACAGGGATTCAATCTGCCCTATACCTTGATGGTCATCGATACCCCTGGGTATCGATTGGACACTGAAGGCTTCAAAGAGTGGAAGAATCAGATTCGGGAATTTTTCTCCCATGGTGGGAACATCGGCGTGGATCAACTCGACGGGATCTGCTTCGTCGTCCCTGCCGGCCAGGCCAGGCTCACGCCCACTGAGAAGAACATATTCGACTTCATCTTGGCAGTTTTTGGGAACGATGTCGTGGAGAACATCTTCGTTCTCATCACGTTAGCGGACGCCCGTCGGGTGCCTGCCAATTGCGCAATCGACGATGCGGGTATTCCCTACAAGAAATCGTTCAACTTCAATATTGGCGCTCTCGTTTGGAAAGAGGGCCTGGAATCGCCCGAATACGAGAAATTCGAAAAGTATTTCTGGAATATGGGTTTCACTAGCTTCAAAAATTTCTTCCAAACCATCCAAACCACCATACCCGTGAGCCTCACCCTGGCAAAGGAAGTTCTGAAAGAACGGCAACGCAGATGAAACTTTCGCAGATAAAAGGTGTGAGGAAGGAAAGCTCCTCTCCACCCCCAACAGGCTGTATGGGAGGAAAGGGGCTTACTCAAGGAGGGTTGGAGAGACCCCTCTCAGATCTGCGCAGAAGCGCGTTTTGGGGGGTGGAACGTCTCGCACTTTCGTGTATGCTGTGTAAGTAGAAAGGGTAGCGACGCACGCCTTTGGCATGGGAAATCGGGCAAGTCCATGACATCACGAAATCCGAAACGTGTAGTTTTGTGAATTCGATGCCTGGTCATCTTATATTACTAATAGATCGGAGCGTCAATAGAATCCTTTTCCCGTTACCATTATTCCCAAATTTTTTTCCCATTTCAATTCCTAACGATCCCGATTCATCCTTATTGCATTTTCCCTGTTAAGGTACCTCAGTCTAGAAGAGTTCTGATACGTACAAAGATCCCAATAGCCAATGGATGCATATAATGGGTCATTTTAATTGATAATTTATTTCGCAATTGAGCATTTGTGAATACTCTGAACGAGTTTTTGAATCATAGATACATTTCCCTTGGAGATCTTCGACGGCCGTTACTTTTTTGCATAACCTGAAAAAAGTATTTATCTCTGCTTCATTATCTCCTGTGCTCTCTTCAGCTTCCGACGAAGAGTTTCTACCTCTAAGCAATGAGCATTCATGGTCATCCGGTAAGATGATTTATGTCATTGTATCCATTCACAAGAGATGAGGAGACTTGCTGGTCCTTCATTACTTGAAATTAATCGTCAGACCGCCAAATGGGAAAAAAATTTACGTTAGACGCCGAACATGAACGAGGGAGGTTGCGTTGGATCTTCGACCAGATTCTCTTTTGGAACGGCATCTTTTTTCAAGCGCCTTATAGCGTTTCGATCACGATAGGAATTTAAGGAGAAGGGATGCCAGCATACTAAAGCATATCTGGGGATAGATTTTATTCGAAGCGATTGAAGCCATTCAATTTCTATGTCTACGAGGTAGACATTTTGGAAATTCATGGAAGGAAATATTTCGTGCCTGCCGAGTCTCATTCCTTGATGATACAACAATGCAATCCTTGCCACTGTCCTTCATAACAATTGATACTAAGAGAGTGAACGAAATAAAGGAACCTAAGAATATCATCGAAATCAACGAATAGGTCGGCAATGTATTTACTATGCCCTCGCAAATACTTTGAAACGTCCTCACATTTTACATTTAAATTTCATGACTGCAACACGAAAGCTTCGTCACTGGGGTGAGTTAAAACGGGAATTTGATGGCCAACACAAGCAGAGAGCAACTATTGAAAACGGAGCCGAAATTGGCGTTAAAGATCTGGGAGTTGTCTCAAGACATACTGTTTGTGGCAGACCGCCTATAGACTGATCTGTCACTTTCTCTAATATTGTCACGGTTCACCCTACGACACGCAATGCTCACATCGACCCATGCATCACCATGTAAGACCTTAAAGCAGGGGTGCCCAAAGTGCGGCCCGCGAGGAGTTTTGGAGAAAATAAGTATAAAATGTTGACAATGTTAAGGAATGTATGATTTTACGTGCAGCGGAATGAACGAAGTATAGCCTTACTAGGATTAAAGTCACTCGTGGGTGAATACGGGTTATTCCCGGCCAAAATTTTCGGTTATGGAATCCTCCTGCATGACACTTTTATTGAGGGTAACCATAATGCGTTCTACTGCACTTGCCAACCAAGTGCCATCTGTGAGAGAGAGAATCTGCATGGCTGCCAGATTCTACTGAAAATAGGCATTGCACGCATCACTCAGAGGAACTTAATTTTATCATTTTCACATGCAAATTTTTCTGACAAATTGATAGCATCAGAATCCTCCCAATGGCCGCCACGACATCGCAAACATACACTGCAGTATGAGATACTCATGAAAATAATTAATAACATTTCATGCCACCTTCCGACATCCCTATCTATTTTTACAATCCCACCTGGAAGGGGTGAAGGGCGTAGAGTAGGAAAACCCTGGACTTTATTGCTCCAGTCTCATCTGTCAAGCTTGTATGTCACTCGTCTCTCAAAGGACAAACAAGAAGGGACAATGTCGTCGAAACGGGTTCATCCCACGAGGACTGGGATTATCAGTCGAGCGTGGCCCCATACCAAGAGGCAGTGTGGGTTGGTGAGTGACAATCTGGAATCTATTTTTCTGTGGCCATGTCAGAAAACGTCGTATCGATGAAGAAAATCGCGCATTTCAAGATAAGTGAACTCACGAGTACTTTGTCATTGAAGAAGATGGGAAACCTCTGTGTTTAATTTGCAAGCAAAACATAGCAGTGATGAAAGATTATTACGTGAAGCGTCATAATGGGACGAATCACAATACTTTTGATCAATTTGTGTGCTATCAAAGGGAGCAAAAAGCTGAGAATTTGCGCAAGGGACTGCTGGCTCAGCAATCGATCTTCAAGAAAGTGACACAAACTAAAGAAGCTGCTGTCAATGCTTGTTATGTTGTGGCCAACGAAATCGCAAGGCGGGGAAACCATTCAGTGATGGTGAATACATCAAAGATTGCATGTTGAAGGTGGCAGATATTGTGTCCAGAAAAACAAAGTGAAATTTCATGATGTAAGCTTGTTTCGAATGACAACATCGCGCAGAGTGGAGGAGATAGGCAACGACCTTCACAATCAATTACGTGACAATGCAGACAAATTTGTGGCATCTTCATTGCCTTTGGACGAGAGCACTGACATTCGTGACACAGCATGGCTCCTTATCTTCCTTCGTGGCGTCACAGAAGACTTCAAGGTTATGGAATAATTACTTGCACTCGTGAGCCTGAAGGACCGCACGAGAGGCTGTGGCTTGTTTACCGCAGTTTGCGTTGCAATGAATGAAAACGGTCTGCAATGGTCATCTCTAGTTGGCGTTACAACTGACGGTGCACCATCCATGACAGGAGCAAACTGAGGTGTTGTTGCCCTCTTGAAAGGAAAGGTGAATGAAATGAGTGGATCTGAGATCACCCATTATCACTGTATTATCCACCAAGAAGATCTTATAGCTCGTGTCCTGAAATTAGATAATGACATTGTGGCCAAATGTGTGAATTTCATTAAGTCCAATGAAATTAAGTCCAACCGTCGCCAGTTCAAGACCTTCCTTGAAGAATGTGAATCCTGAGTTTGCCTGCAGTGTTGCAGGAGGGTATGCTTTCTAGAAGCTACCTCTGCGAGAAATTGGTATCTTACTTGTACGTTACATAGTAATGGTCGGGTGCAAAGAAAGATGAAGCGATCGTTTTTGAAGGGTAGGTGCAGAACGTAAAATTCTAAAATTTATGGGTTAATGAAGTTGCGAAACTACGGTCTGCAAGAGGGATACGGACCTCGATACTGTTAAATTGAGCTGGAAAGAGAATTTGAAAAATATTGCACATGGATCTGGAATGTTCATGTGGAGACCCACGGGTGGAATCTAGACTGCGAAACGATTCTACCCAGCGTGAAAATGCGCATTTCCCAATTCCGAAAAGGCGAAAGAAAATGTTTGGAGACCAATAGTTTTGAGGAATGCCTGTTTGTGTTTTTCTTCAACACCCAGTCTCTGAAAGAATTATAGACTTTTAGCACATTTTGTGAAGTATGGCAAGATAAGAAAATTCTTGAAAATGTTTGATGCAGATCATACCCCTCATTTTTTAGCTCTCGATCTAATCACTTCTTTGGTATGAGTTCCGTTTTGCAACAAATTCCCTATATTTTACACTCAGTCAAAATCCATGAGTTTTTGGGAAAAAGCAACCTACCGTAATAGAATTCCTCACTCTCTTATATCACAACACCACGAGTCAACCCGGCGTACCAGATGGACTTGATTTGCCCTTTCATCGTATCCTGTTTCCTGTTGCATGCGTGAACATGCTAGTCCATGAATGACCATTTCAACGCTTTTTACTCTAATGACAGATTTCTTACCTCCCCATTCCTCCATAACTTCGCTTATATATTATTCGAGAACATATGGTTATTGCAGCATTTAAGGGTGGAAACAACAGGGACTTTTAATGAAATTTTTAACATTCAAATATCTCAAATTCCAGATACTCGTATTTGTTGGTGGGAACCATTTAGCTGACATACTGTCATTCTGTCCGAATCGGGGTGTTAAAGGTCAGGTTTCTTTATAATTGGTCAGTATGACTGATACTTTTCGCAAATGTCACATGAGAACTACGCTTTCTGAGTCGCAATCAAACATTCGTTCTTTTTTTAGACTTGCGCAAGGAGAGGTTGTTGGAGAAAATTATTGGACGATTGAATCGAAAAAATACAGTTTGGTTTGCAGCAGGAAGGACACGAGGGATTCCAACTCAAGTGATCAAATGGTGGTTGGGGCGTCCGACAGGGATCTTTACTTGGGAAAAACCGTGCATGATTACCTCTTTTAGTTATGAAAAAAAAACAACAAAATGGTCAGTGCTCTATAAACAAATCCAGAGATATTCAACACAAAGTTAAGCTTCCTGGGAAAAATGACCCCACAGGTCAAAGGGCTACTTTTGACCCTAATTGAGCTAATAAGAAGATTTTGGGTTGAAATGAAACCTAAGACCACGCCTAGTACAGATTAAAATCACTGGGAGATGGCAGTAGAATTCAATGCCACTTGATAAGTGTAGACCAACATCGTTTACCACTTTCACTAGTTCAGTATTTTTACCTGAATCTGTATTACACCGGACAACTGGCTGCATTCAAAAGGCGAGATAGTAGATGTTGGCGTGTGTTTTCTCCGTAAGTGTAAACCTACATGCAAATTTACGAGGGTAAATGCTGAACCTCTAGAAATGATTTGACTTTCAGCTCCACGTAATATTAAAGTCACTCTGACACTATCAGGCTTGCACCTCATCTGAAACGGTTAGAGAAGAAAGGAAATTTTCAACGATTGGTCTTAATTTCATTTTTTAAGTTGCTGATACGCTAAACGGAGTGCAAAAAAAGAACTGAATCTGTTCGTAGAATTCCTCAATCTCTTACATCACAACACAACGAGTCAACCCCGCGTACCAGATGGACCTGAATTGCTCTTTCATCGTATCCTCTNCACAACGAGTCAACCCCGCGTACCAGATGGACCTGAATTGCTCTTTCATCGTATCCTCTTTCCTGTTGCATGGGTAAAGATGCTAGTCCATGAATGACCATTTCAACTCTCTCTACTCTAATGACATTTCTTACCTCCCCATCCCTCCATAACTTCGCTTATATTATTCGGGAACATATGGTTTTCGCAGCATTTAACGAAAAGAAGGAGTCGATTGCACGTGATGAGGATATGGCCAGTATACTTAACGAGTTCTTCGCTTCCGTTTTCGC